TGAAATGTTAGTGTGAGCCACAGGTGGAGATGATTTGTAAAGGCTTAGTTTATGTCAAAAACCAAAAACTGCCTTGAAGGAGCTGAGCAAGCAAGGGCTCCGCAAACATTGGCAAATATTATGTAATCCTGTTATTACATGGTAATTATTTGCAGCCAAGATGGAACATTGTGAAAGAGTAATTTTGGCCAGCCATCATGATATCTGATCGCTCCCTCATGTGCCTCTATGTCCTCGGTGATGCTGTGAAAATGTTAACAATACACTGAAAAAAGACAGCTTAAAAGGTGTTAAATATAAATTGCACACACACATTAATACACACGACCAAAAGGTCAGAGTCAGGCAGCAGCAGAACAGATGACCCAAGCCAGCTGAGTCATATGCACATCTTACAGCAAAGGACAGCTGCTTGTAAGATAAGACACACATAAACATGCTCCACTTCTAGCTGCACCCAAACACTCTCACTTGAGCCCTTATCCATGTGCAGCACACTTAATGGTAAGGACACTCTGCACATAATTTGGAGAAAAGTAGAGGTCAGCTGAGGGCATCGGCTGAAAGTCCACGTGAAGCAGAATGTCATTAATGGGAAGGTTTGCAGCAACAGGCAGAAAAGAAATTCAGTTTACATTTCCATAAACTTATATAAAAGCTCTTTAAAAGCCAAACTGCTCAACGTTCTGTCCATATGTTGTGAGGTGTGGCACAGACAGCTCTTCATACACATGCTGCATCCCCCCCTTTCTCTATAAAGGGAAGTTTAGATGGGGACAGAGCGTGCCCTGTAATAAAGTGGGTGTGAGTCTGATTGAGATTCTGTTTTTTTTTCATGAATGAGAGTGGGAGACATCCTGTCTCTGAGGGGTACGCTCTGTTCGTGTCGTGTGACTCATCTAGGATCCTGATAGGAGAAGAAAGCGTGCGGACAAAAGAGCTTCCTTTGCAAGGAGACTGCAAATGATTTGCCGTTGTTCCTCATGCAAATGACAAATTGGACGAATTGTCAGACAGATGAATAGAGCTGGATTAATGTTAATGCTGAAAGACTCAATGGGATCACACAGAAGATTTACTTAAGCATTCAGGACAATATGCAGTGAAATCAGGAAAACACTTCCAAAACTGGAAGATTAAATGTCTGTTAAAACAGACTGCCTAACTCTATGGTTAATACTGTGCGTACAGTTTAAAATGCCTCTTTGATCTCTATACACACAGTTCCTGTACTTTGAATGGAATGTGATATATTCCACTGTGACATGGATGGTTTGAGGACAACAAAGGAAAACAAGAGTTAGCTGGGAGAGCTGCAGGAAGCTCTCTGTCGTCACAAAGTCTGGGGTCAGCGGAGGATCTCAGTCTGCGGAACAGAACCAGTGGAGACCGTTTTTTTTTCCTTTTATGTGATGTCAAAGAGATTGCAGAACAATTAAAATCAAAGATGACTGATCTGACAGCTTCATATATCTCGACTGACTTCATACATACTCTGGTGTGTGTGAGTGAATGTGTGCAGAGTGTATTCTTCACAGCAGGATGTGATTAAAGGCACAGCAGTGCAGAGCAAACCCTCTGGATCCAGGGCTGCTGGGTGCTCCTCATGGGATGGAAGCTCATAAAACATGAAGGATTTGCTGTGAACTCTTGGCCACAAATCAATGACTTTCTGAATTTAACTTCTGTGGCACAATCTGCTTGTGGGAAGCACCGAGGACAAAATAAGAGGTTATTTTAAATATTTTATGTCAGGCAAATCTGCGGTCCGTTGAAGTGAAATCTGGGCAGCTGAGTCCTCGGCTGTTTAAACATTTTTTTTTTTTTATGATAAACGTTATGCTAGAGATGGACCAGAAAGAGTGATTTCCTTTTGAATCCTGCTCATCCTCACTGTCAGTCGAGAGGGATGGGAAAACGGGGACTGCTTCTCTGCCGTTTGGAGTGGGTGTTCTCAAAGCAAACGTGATCCCGTTTGCAGTGAGAGGGTTCGTGACTCACTGGCTCCGACTCTTGTCTGGCTTTCAGCAGAGATCGCTCCTCCTTATCCCACCCTCTCAGCCAAACAGGTCCCATGAGTCACGAATACCAACACTATGCCCTAAACAATTTTCAAAAATGCATGTGAATCAAAATAAAAACCACTTAGATTTAGGTTTGAGGTTTATAATTTATGTTATTCACACAATATCAGAGTTCTATGTGTCAGTTCAAGATTTTTTTTCTGGTAGAAGAAGAATAAGCCAAGATTTCAATAGACTTCAGTTGTACAAGTTCAATAATTAGGCTACAATCAGGGAACACCCTGCCCCGAACTGTTACCCAATCAGTTAACATTTCATTTAACACCATGTTTGTCATAAAAATAACAATTATGTCCTGATTTAATGGCTTCATATGTTAATACTGATGTATCTTTGCTTTGGCTGTTCTTAATTGAACAAAAATGGAGGTGAGCAGATGTGACTGTTCATATGCCTTGGGTAGTTTTTGATATTATTAAAACAAAGGTAGAAGTTAAACATATACCTATCTGAACATCCAAAGTGTTTCTAGTCGGACCAGAAACTGATGATTATTTACAGCATCTTCATTTTTGTCTAAATCCAGGATAGTCAGCTCCTCAGGCTAAAACTAACTGATGAAAAATCTTCTGTTTCACACTGAGAAGCTCCTGCTTATTTACAGGAGCAAATGAGATTGGAGGCAGTTCACTGTCAGAGATATTACTGGTTATGATTAATTCAAATGAACTATCTGAAAATAATACTAGATTAGGCAGTTTCTAAAAGAGGAAACAATTGTTCTCTATCACAGTAAGATTAGTGATAAAGCACTACTTCAATGTAGAATATCATTAATCATCAGACTATAATAACAACTCAATCAAACATAATATGTTTACGAAATAGATTTTGTTTTTTTCTTCTTTTGTTTAAGCTGGAGTTCCTCAAAGATGGTAGAAGTTGACTTTGGTCTTTGGTTTTTGTGATGGACTAGAATGCCAAGGGTAAGATGATATAAAGAGTGCGTGAAACCAAAGGTTAAATTTGTAGAGTGCAGAAATTGGCCAAAAGATTTTACTCTAATTAGGGCAAATCAACTGATTGGATTATGTTTTGTGTGTTATAAAACTCTCTCTTTTTGTTTAATTCCCAGTTTAGTTTTCAAAGTTTTATAAATAATTAGATCTTTCTTTTTACATCATGCCCCAGGACCATTTTCCAGTTTCCAGCTGGCTTTCCTTTTTTTATTTTTTATTGTTTATTGTCCCATCGCCTTACAGATAGGCTTCTGGTCAGGCATGGCCATCATCATCCAGCTAGACGGGGGGCCACCCTTAACCAATCTTTGCCCACCCCTGTGGCCACCCCTACCATTTTTTTCTCTCAAGTAGAATATTCAAAACATTTTAATTTTATATACATTAACAATTACTTGACAACAAAAACACTGTGGTTAATTATGCACATCAATATACCAACATTAGAGATGATTAGTACAGAATTCCTGCTCTTTCAGAACTAGAATTTGTGTTATATGCAATAAAGAGAAAATGATGTGTCTCTGCAAGTCATCTAAGAGTCTTCAGTGAAATCCTACATACTGTAAATACCTATTTTTAATAAATACCTATTAAATTATCAATTTATGCAGATATTAGTACTTGCATATATCAATTTAATGCCGAATGATATTGGTAAAAGTAGGTAAGTAATGACAATGGAAAATATGTTTGTTCCAGAACTCAACGTCCACCTCTCCCTCTTCAGTTCTTTTAAAAAACGTGTTTATTTTGGGAATTTTTTATCCGTTCCTTCAGCAGCTCTTTCCTTTTCCTTTTCTGGAATCCGCTTAAGTACCTCTTTTTGGTATCCATCGTCGCTAACACATTGCACTTAACGGTTATTGTTTAAATCTACGCTCTGAATTACCCATAATTCCAAGTCGTATTGTAAAAAATAAAATACTCAAATACATGGTCCTTTTAGATCTTTATTGGGGTTTGTAACATAGTATATGAGTGTATTTTTTTGCCAACCGTCTAATAAACTGTACACTCTTATTAACATAGTAATTAAAAGTACCACCGTCTGCTTTGCCATTGGTGTCATGTTTAAACGGCCCACCATCATGTTGAAATCTGCTATATGTTGGGGTACAGATACAATCCTGTATCAGGTGTGTTTAAGAGGAATTTTTTGCACCATTACATCTGCAAAGAGACGTCCTAGTCCACAATTGTGTAGATTGTGTAGGGGGCCAGCTGTCAGTGACGGGGCCTCAAAGAGGTCAGGGGCCCCTAGGCAACTGCAGTCTCTGCTTACCGATAGTTACGCCATTGGTAAATACCTATTTTAATAAAAACCTATTAAATTATGAATTTATGTACATATTAGTACTTGTATATGTCAATTTAATGCAGAATGATATTGATAAAAGTAGATAAGTAATGACGATGGAAAAGATGTTCGCTCCAGAACTCAAAAGTGAAAGAATTTTATCCAATATACCTTTTATCTAGAGTGATGTTTAAATATCTGTATTTATTTGTTAGCAAAGGCTGAAGGAAACTATAGTTTGTTTTTATTTAGAAATATGGGCGTTGTGCTTGTTCCTGTTGGAACTGGTGCCTATCCACTTTTGGCCACCCATCAGTAGGCCTATACATTATAAAAAATTTCTGGCTACGCCTCTGTCGTCATCCAGATGATCATGACGCTGAATGCCTGTGTAGTGCGCAGTGAGGGGGGGGGGGGGGGGGGGGCAGCCCCGGCTTGACTTTTCGCCCCGCTGTTGAAATGGAAACCGATCCTCGTGTCCACGTGTTTGTGTCATTTCCATGCTATTTGCATATGTAAACCGGCCTCTCCTATTGCTTCGCGGCTGCATCGAATCGGCGAGCCGATTCGTCGGCCGGGGCCCCGCGGAGCGGCGAATGGCAGCGCAGGAGCGCGCTGGCCCCGCCCGCTCAGACACGTTGCTTCTGGAGAAGCAACACGGGGCTGATTACTGGCCGTGGCTGCTGCCTCACCGCTCACACGCTGCACACGTCCCGCACATCAGCTGCTTCTCCTCTCTGCCCGACGCTCCTGGCCGGATTCATAAAGTGAACAAAGGAGGAGAGGAAACGACTGGCCGCCGCATCCCGGGAAGGTTGGTAGATCTGCGCTCCTCATCCTAATTATACCTTCATTATTTAATCTGTGCAAGGTTAAGGTTACCTATTTAAAAAGTCATCTGGAGGAATTTCACAGAAATATTGCAATAATAATAAAATAAAATGTTAAATATATTAGGGCTGAATTGTTTAGAGACTGGACAGTATTTGATTTCTCTTTTTCTAATTATGTAATCCTAACGGCGCGCTCCCAAATTTACTATGAGCGACGAGGAAGTCTATTGTGTCTTCTACAGTCCTCATTCACTTTATCTGATTTTTTTCCCCCTCTCTGTGAATCATTATAGTGTCTCTCCCTCCTAATCTCAGTGATGTCTTTATGTAATAAAGGGTTATTATGGTAACTGATGGGTATCTTTCACGTTTGGGGGCCTTACCTGGCCAGGTGTGCATAATTAAGGCTGTCTGATATTTTAAATATCTTATAAATTATATATTTTCTTAGTGATAAATAAAAGAAAGAGTAGGTAGGGATGTGTTGAGGTGTTTTATAAAGTCCTGTGCTGCTGGATCTTTGTGAAAAACCTGGCAAGTTGTTTGGTTACATAACTATGTCAAATCTGTGGTTGAACAAGTTGTGGCACCAGCATGATGTTTGGCTTTTCTTTAGCTGTAATGAATGTACATGTCATTTTGTTTTATAACAGAAAAGTGGAGCTATGCAGTATGAGGTTTCTTGTCACAGGAAGTATAGGAATCTGTTTGTCATCCCCTGTTACAAAACAGAAGGTTTTGATAGTGGGCACTCCAGATTAGATAAAAGTTTCAAACTGCCTGCTGTGTTACTATGGTTCTCATTGTATCCTTGTAAAACTGCACGATTGCAGGTTGCTTTCCGTGATCTCCCCCCCCCCCCCCCCCCCCCCGATTTCTTTAAAATATTTTTAGTTTTTGGAGGAAATGTAGGCATTATTTTAAGGCTTGTGTTTGGTTCTTTGAACGAGCGAACCATCTATGCTCCACACTGGCTCTATGACCATTAGATCAGATTCCTCGAACAAAGAACCTGTGAGCCATTACCTCTTCTAACCCTCAGATTTCATAGGAAACCCGAGACATGGCAGACATAAAAAAAAAATCGGAGCTGTTCTCACTTCCTTTTATCGCCAAGGAAACACGCCGAAGCCCTGGCAAGCAATTAAGCATCCAAGAGAAGCGTTTTCTTGTTTACAAGACAGGCTTCAATAGGGAACAAGCTGATGTTTTATTCTGTCTTTTGTTTCCCTCTAAGAGGTCAGGACTCCAGTCCAGACCTCCGCCCCCCTCTATAGGAACCCAACAATGTCTGAGCCGATATGGGTGCTGGTAGATCCAGGGATCTTTATTCTATCATAACCTTGAGTGAAATTACCACAGTATTCACACATGCACTCAAAAAAATAAAAAGGTAGAATCTAATATAATTACTGTTATTTGAAACAAAAGAGCTGCAGGTGATTTTGATAATTGGCTAAAATGTGTATTGTTGCTCGGCTGTCTGCCTTGTAACTAGCCTGCATTCTGCTGCTTTACAAACCAGCAGTTGTCTGAATACAGTTTTATCTTAATTAGAGCGAAACCTGGTCTTTGGTTAGTCTTAATAAAATTGCTTTATGTTTTCAAGAGCTGAAGTATTACTAAAATCTGTGTCGTATGAGAGGGAGATTCACATTAACCCCTTAATCTTTATGTTAGTCTAAATCAAAAGATGGCAGAATGACTTTAGTACCTTGTTCTCAATGCCTGGGATCTCCCTGGAAATCAAAAAGTTTTACAGTTTTTAATTTTCTCCCATACCTTGAATCAACGTCAGATCTGTGCACAGCCTGGCGTGTGTCAAACGCTTCTTGTTTCACGGTTTACAGGGTTTGGACACGTGTAGCTCTGAGGCCTTTGTTGGGAATGTTTTTGTAGTTCTCTGTGATGTTGCCTGGTCTGTGTTTACCAGCTCAGGTGTTGCATCTGCAAAAACAAGCAGGTCATTGTGGTCTCACTGCCAGCATCTGTTTTTCTGTCCCCTTTCACCTCTACTTGCTCAGAGTTGCTGTTTTTAGTCGACTTTTCATGACTGTTATTATTTCAACAAGCCCTTGTTGCTCAGACAAGGACGCTCCTGCAGTTATTTTGGCTCCAGCCTTGATTTGTTGATATTTTAGCCATCCTTTTCAACCATGGCTGTCCTTGCTCATTTTTCTTGATGAATCTTTCTCTCACACCAGGTCAGTGATGATCAATGCTGGTTAGAGCCTGCAGCTGAGGATGTCTGCTACAGATTCGGACAACTCCATCGACTGGCTGGCCAGCGACACAGAGAATGAGAGCGAACCAGAGCTGGACTGCACGGCAAAGCACGTCCAGAAAGAAGCGTCTCCACCTGAGAGGAGCGGCGAGCTGAGGGAGGATAACTGCTGCGAGGTCACCGGTAGCAGGAGCTCTCCTCGCAGCGCTGTGAGCTCGGACAGAGACTCTGACAATGGACTGTATAAATCGCAGTACGGAGAAAAGGTGAATTGCACGAACGCTCAGGCGGCGAAGAGACGCCATAGCCCCTCCGGAGAGCAGTGCAAGGACCGGCAGCCTGTATCCAACATGTTGGAGAAAGATCAAGTTTTTATCAAAAAGGTGAGCACCTCTGTGGCTGTTTGGTTCTCACAGGAGGTGGTTGATAATGTCAGAAAAACTTGGACATTTCCTATCACCCTGATTACCCCACCCCCATACAGCTCTTTCTGACATTTCCTGTAAACCTGACCCTCCCCCTTTAACACCTCTGTTCTCCAGAGATTGTGTCATCTGATAATAAGGCTTGTTATATATTTGACTTCTGTTACTCAAGCTGATTTTTTTAAAGCTGAAATCAATGTTCTATCATTTCCAGTGCATGGAGCTTCAATGCTACATCCACCCTCTGTCATCAATCTTGAACGGCCTTCGTTCGGGGAGATACAAGGAAAGTAAGTCATTCCATTTTGTCCTCTGTGCTCCTTTTAGTTAACATTGAATACAGGAAAATTAAGGGATTATCTCCATTTATTATCTCTATAGCAATGCTTGTTGATGTGTTTACAGATAGAAGTTCTTATTTTTAAAGAATCTTACAGAAGTGAAAGGGATTTTTCAGTTTTTGACCTGATTGATCATCAGTTAGAGCTGAAATAGAGAAAAATGGACAGGCATTGTACATCTGAAACCTGTTTTTTTTGTTCTCTGGCCCCCCAGCAGTAAATTATAGCAGAGTTTGTTTGTATGGAAACTGCAGTTTGTTGGTGTGTCGACATGTTTCCCAGAAAAAACAATGGAGGGAACAGACAACATGCTGATCTTTGTGGAAAAAAAAAAAAAGTGTCTCTGAGATTTGAGAGTGTGATGTCTGACACATGGTATTGTTGGACCATCCATTAACCACAATTCAAATTGGTGGTACCTTCTCTGGGGGTTATGTAACAGAGATCGTTTTGGGTGAAGGCTCACTTAGGGACAGAGTATTTCAACAGATAAAGAGAGTCCTGAATGATTTTATTTAACCCACAGAGAGTAGGAAACCTCTCTCTTTACACTTCTCTGCAAACTTGGCAGGAGTGAGTGGGAACATACTGTACCACGCTTTACCAGAGAAGCAGCTGCTGTTTGTGTTTTAGTAAGAGCGGCATTACATGTGGCTTTTGGGAGATAACGGCCGTGTCCAGACAGGCTCTGAAACGGCTTCGGTTTGGGATCTTGGTCTGACCCAACCTTGTGTGACCCGCACTGGTTGCTCACAGAAGCTTGGGAGCCTGTTCCCTCATGCAAACACTTCCCAGAGCCCATCTGCTGCACAGACTTGGGGTCCTTCTGTTGACGTGCTTCACGCTGCAGCTTTTCTTTCTTTTCCAGGGCTCAGCAGTTTCCAGGAGAGTGTGGCTATGGACAGGATTCAAAGGATCATGGGTGTTCTGCAGAATCCCTTCATGGGGTGAGTTTGACCTAAAAACCGTCTACATTTATTTCCCCCTTCACAGCATACTTTTTCTTTTAGTTGTATGAATACCCCCTGGTTGTTTTCAGATTTGATCACGTTGCAATCAGAAATTTCATCCTCCTATTTTATCTTGATTTTGTGGTTTAGACCAAAGCTTTGCAACCTGTGGCTCCAGAAACATTTATGACCTTTTCTAAATAATTTAAGTGAACCGGTTTAGAGGCTTAAACAAAAAATTAACAGCAGTTGTTTATTTTTTTATAAGAACAATTGCAAATATGTGAAAAAATGTTGAGTTTCCACAACAGGACGACACTAAAAGTGTTTTTCACTTTTCACCAGATATGAATCTTGGTGTTTTTTTTAAAGTCATTCTCACATATATATTAATATTCCATAGAATAAACCTACATCCATTTTAAAAGTGTTTTTGTTTTGTTGATTTAAAAACGTTAAAAAAAATTAAATATTCAGAGATTAAAACAAATTTTCTCTCTAAGATTTATATCAGTAAAAATACTTTTCTTCCCTAAAAATAGTCTCAACCGATTTTACTTACCTGGACTGAGAGCAGAAACAAATATGTAGATCATCAAGGTTCTAGATCCCTAGAACCCAGATCAGCACAGTGTAACAGAAAACTGTAAAATTGAAAGAAAATTAGAGTTTTTATTTTAACAAATAAGTCTTCTTTACTTCGTTTACTTCTATACCATTGAGTAAAATGCATTACGTCATCTTATTATTGAAACGTTTTCCATTGTGCTGTGTTTTTAATTACATTGATCACAGAGCTGCATCACAGAGACCAATGATCACAGCAGGTCAGGGACAAAGTTCTGGAGATTTTTTAAGTGGAGTTTAGTTATAAATCAGTATCTTTGGATTGTAACCAGCATATTTCAATATATTATCCATGATGATGCAAAGAAAATTACATGACTGCAAACACACCAGAGCAAGTAGTTTTGAAGAGCATCAATCATAGACTCGTGGAAACTCTGGAGGAGCTGCATGGATCCACAGTTCAGCCAAAACATAGGATACCTTTAGCTGTTCATGCAACAAACCTGGCAAGGGTAGCTATTCTTAAAAGGAATGAAAAAGACCTGCTGCTTTGTGTCACATATGTAACCCTGATGTAATACGATGAAGTATGTGTCTGAGGCATGATCAAATGTGAAAATGTCTCGGTTCTATAAAAACTTTTCCAAAGAACTCGATGTACCCTCCTGCATCATCATCTTTTTTTTGTATTATGCTGCCTTAGCTAGATGTGTTTTTTTTTCCCTTATATTTTCTGGTTGAGGATCTGAGGCGAAGCACATCCGGCCGCTCGGAAATACTGTTTGCTTTCTAAGTGGTCTCCATTATGTGTGTGACACATGGCTCACAGCAGGCCGCCGCTCCCCCCACACGCATTTCAGGATAAATTTACTGCAGAAACGACTGAGCCGCACTTTAGCCGGCCATCTCGTTAAAAATGTATCATGCTCCTTGGTGGGAGAGGGACGCTTGTGTCCGCTTGATTAGCTCTCCACTGGCCAGACGGTGTAATGGAGTATGATATTACCCCCCACCCCCCCTTCAAAGGAGAAAGTATGAGTCCTTGTAATATGATCGCCTTTCATATCATGAAGTCCAAGCTTTGTTCGGTTATATTGGTAAAAATAAACGTATGGATATTTGTTTGATCAATACTGAATGCACCGTGATGGTGAAGCGTAGATGTATGCTGCTGAGTTCGGCGCAGACCTCTCCCAGCTGCTGCCTTCATATAGGAGACAAAGAGTGGGTGTGGTTGCATCCCACAGACAGCCAGGGCAGCGCCTGGAAGGTGGACCCAGCCCCTCCCTCCTGTCCCTGCTCTCTGCTCCATGTTACCAGCTGGTGGCCCCTCCAGCTCCGGATCAAAGCAACTTTTTGGGGGTTTAAGAGATAATCTTTCACATGAATTTTACATGTTTCCACAAGGAGAACAATAACATTAAGATGTGGCTCCTATGATGACTGTTAATCCTCTACCTGCCATCTGCTTTGGTCGGTGCTCCTCTGAGCTCACTCTCCTCCTTCCGTCTCCTCCTCCCACGACATCATCTCGTTTATTTCCACAATGACGCTGTTGGACACCGTGTGGCTTTGGTGTTTATATTTAGACACAAGCAGAGCTATTACACGTCAGGCCACGTGTGAGCTCTAAACATGTGAGAAATGTACTCAAGACTGTTTCCACACATACACACACACACGCGCTCTGTCTCGCTGCATATTTCCCAGATTCATTTGATCAGGAGAGAACAGTTCCTCGAAATGGTTTGCAGATTAAGATTCATGCACGATAGTAAAACTAAACATTGCCGTTCTTTGTCTGCTCTGTAATCCACCTCTCTTTCTTTGCCTTTCTGTTTTGCAGGGAGAAATATGTTGATATCATCCTGAAAATGGAGGCGATGTTAAAGAGCTGGTTCCCTCACGTGAAACTCCAAGAGCAGCACGCTACCACCCAGACAGAGGGACTTGTGCCCAGCAAAAGGCTTAAGGTAAAGTTTTTTTTTCTGAAATATAAAAACAACCCTGTTGTGTAAGAGCTCCTCAAGAAGACATGAGCTGCTGCCAAGATTGACAGGGCTGCCACGGGGGAGACAAAAATACCCATTGTTATTTGATCAGAGCCCTGTGACAAGAAAAGAAGGATTTAAAGCTATTTTCTACCGAGTCTCAGGTTCGCTTTTAACAATGACACAAGAGCAAAGATAAAACTGGAGGAGTGGCCTTTGCTGGTATTGAAAGATCTCAGCATACCTGGAAGAATCGTACGCATTTAAGTGGTGTGGATTTCTTCCTGATGTTAAGCTAGTCCAACCATAAATAAGAGCATTGTGTCGCAGGTTTTAAAGAATAAATTTGGTCACATTTTCACCCCCACAGGCTGCCAGTGTTTTTCTTTCAAGAAGTAGATTAAAAAAAGTATCACTGAGCTTGACCCTGGAAACATGGTGGAGGCAGCATTATGCTGTGGGGTTTAGTTTGGTTATAACTGACAGAAAGATGCAGGAAGCTAAATACATGACAATCCAAGAAGAACATCTTACCTCGACCCGTAGGGCACAATAGAGCAGAAGATGTAGATCAAAGCAGAGGCGAGTTCAGACCTGAATCCAATTGAGCGTGACGCGGCTTGAACGTTAATGTTTACAGATGCTCCCCATCCCATCAGTTGTAACTTATAATAAAAAAGAAGTGGGGGAAACATCAATCATGTAACCTTCTGTCCCACTGCTTTCTCGAACAGGGCTGATATTTCTTAATCCTCATAATTATTGACAAGTCTAATAGAATCAGCGCGGGTGCCAATAACTAAGGGGGCCAGTGTACTCAGACTAATAGCTTTTTGTAGGAGCAGCCTTTCAACTGTTTAAGCATAATTACCTGTTTTAAGAAGTAATAAACAAACTGAATAAACAAGAAAATAAAAGATATGGTTTTAAATTTCAGTGGTTCCTGATTTTGCTAAAGAGTTAGCGCTCTCCATCTCCTTATAGGTATCGCCATCGGCTCCGTCTGCTGCTGGGAGCTCCGTCTCTCACAGTGATCCTCCGGCTGCCACCAAAGCTCTGAGGGTCACGGACCTGACTCCACCTGAAGCCTACTCCGCCAACAACCTGAAGTGGCTCCACACGTCGCCGATCTGCTCCCCCACGGCTGAGGAGGGCCAGGCTGGTCCCAGGCACGCGCTGTTGCCCGGAGACAAAGACCTTACGCAGGACAGTGCCGTCTCCTCCAGCACAGATGGCCACGTTAAGACGGACTCTGTGCTGAGAGGACCGCCGCCGGGCAAAATCAACGCACCTTGCCTGGAACGGCTCCTTAAATCCACAGACAGCATCATCACACGCAGCGGGACAGGGGGTTTGATGGGCAGCAGCTGGTCCTAGTCCAAACATGGGGCGGGGGGGCTGGGGTATCCAGCTGTTACTGCGGCCCGACCCAGCCTCATCCTGCCCCACCCAGCTCAGAGCCAGTTAGCTCGCTTCACTCATTCCAGCCTTCAGGATTGATGGGAGCGTTCAAAGAAAGGGAAGTCGCAGATTCCTCTCCAGGGTCGCCAACGAACACGATGGGGTTTTTCTCAGATGTGACGAGGGTCCGCCCTCGCTTGCCCTTTTTATTGACACATCCACATTTCTCCTTGGATTCTTGAGTTGCGTGTGAGTGTTAAAAGGTTAGGCGACCCACGCGCAGATAACCGAAGCAAGTATTGTCAGAACTGGACTCTTCCCACCGGGTCGCACGATACAGGTTTTCATCAATCTGCCGTTCTGCCTTGAAGGGAAGAGTGTTAGCGTGTAGGAAAGGATTTTTCAGATATCCATACATGGTCTACATATTGTTGGTCTACTAAAAATGTGGCTAAAATGTGACGTTAACGCCCCCAAACTCCTCCCCTTCCCTCCCAATGACTCCACTCTTAGGTTTATTGATGTGACTGTTACTCATTTCTACTATTCATCAATAAATCTTTTTTTGTTTTTGGTACAACTGTTCTACCTCATCGAGCACCACGTCATGGTTAGTTAGTTGGAATGTGACAACTTTGCTCAGAGTCTGGACCCCCTGATGCGGTCTGCGTTGAGCCAAACGCCCTCCGACAACAGGGCCGTGCAAACAGAGGATGCTCTCTCTATCTCTCTCTCTCTCTCCATGGGGGACGCCCTTGTGGCCTGACTGGTGCCATTGTAAAGAATGTCAACTGCAGATTTGTTTTTCTGAGTCTCCCAGAAGAAGGCAAACAGTGCCTGCAAAGTCAAGCTGTGCCTGTCAGCCGTTTGATTAGAAAAGAGAAGCGTTTAGACTACCTTCACCTCTGTGGGGTCTACAGATTCAGGAATTGTCATTCTGCCATTTTCCTGTATGAATAAATTATTGCCAACTACTTGGTGTGGTGAAGTAGAACAACTACTATCAATTTATTTTGCCACACTAGACCGTGTGTAGACCACCTGAGAGGGACAAGGGATTTGTCTTTAAATCTTACTGCGAAAGGTTGTAGATTTACCCTGAAAAGTGGCCTTTATAGTGTGAAATTTTATACTTTCTAAATAAATGTGGTTATATTTGTTTGATGCAAATTGCTTGAGTTATTTATATTTTTTGACCTGTGAACACAGGTTATCACTGTTGATTTTCTTTTTTATTTACTGTTCCTTTAAGAAGTTTTTTTTTCTGCTTGTCTACAATTTGTCACGTTTCTTTGTCCAAGTCTTTACAAAGTTGTTTAAAATTGTAAAACATAATCTCATTTTTTTTTTTGCTAAAATAACCTACTTTATTGTAATTTTTCATAAAAAACAAAACAAAACTTCATGGCTAAAAGGAACCTCTTTGCTTGGTTTTGCTTTCTCACTGTTGGGTCAAATATTTGTGGACCCAAACATGGGTTTGTTTAAAGCAACAGGTTATGGTTTCCACTGTAACAAGTAAAGGAACCAGAGGCAGGATGAGAAAATGCGCAGAAACACTTAAAGGGTGGATCATCTAAATAAGTGGTCCTCCTAGTTGTCAATCATTCTGGTGATATGCTTACATAAGGCCTTCCTAAGTGCGCGTCCAGTTTGCTATCTTTTTCTGCACATGCGTACGTTCAGGCGTATTTCTTGTGAGCTACGGTATCAGGTAGTCATTGAAGCTCACCTTTCTCACCGCGGTTCTTTGAAAATGGCAGAGGGTCATAAGAGAAAATGTGTGGAGAGCTCTCCCTGCAAAGCATTATGGGATTTGCTGTCACAGTGGGCCGCTGTTGCTACCTCATGGCACAGGCACCGCACGGACGAGGAGTTACGTGACCAACGGGGAGCAAAAAGCAATGATCATCTGTCCAAATGGTCAGTTAGCTGAGTTTGCAATAATAATCCATTATATAGTCCCCGCTCTATACAGTTATTGAAGGATTTAGGGGTTAGGGCGGACATTTGAACACAGTAAGCTTGTATGAGCTATAAGAGGAGCAACTTTTAAACGGAGCGTGCACGAGCCGAAATGAGCTTGTGCATGCTCATGCATGAGTTTAATAGGCGTTCCCTTTTGGGAGCGGGTACAGGGTTGTGCATGTGCATTTTTTTTAAAAGTGGAGAGGATGAAACTTTTAAAAAATCGTGAAAATCCTCCACAGTACCTTTAAGGCTGTATTTAGAGCATTACTAAATACTTGGCAGGAAAAACCTTATTTACATTTGAGTTGGGAGCATTTTAGCTGCAAATCAAGAAGCAGAATTCATTAACTTATAGAAAGTATATATTCTATTTAAGAGCTTTATATGTCCTGGTTAAAATAAATCAAACAATCACAAATGTTAATATATAAAGAAAATGAAGTTGGCAAATATAGAATTAAGTGTAGTCATATTAGATCCTAAACTAAGAGTCAATTTTTCTACGGTGTTTTCTGTCTGGAAACTTGGAGAAATGACAATTTAGCAGAAAGGCTAATGTTACCTTAAGTAAAAAAGTTCTCTCGTTATCAATTCTTGTTTCATCCTGTTGATGAGATTAACTCTGATCAGGTTACTAGTGTCTTCTTTAAAATAACGACCTCTGAAGATGAATGAGGCTCCTTGTCTTTTCTCTTCTCCGAGAAACCGGATCACAGGCTAAGTTGTGTTCAGGAAAGCATAAACCCGGTATTTAGGCTAAATGGATTAAACAGCTGTTTATTTTGTGTATAAAGGGCAAACTGTCCAAAAGTTGAAGTCTGAATGGACCTTCCCTGTTAAGGAATTATTTAAGGTTTTGGATGGTGTCATTTTCAACCAGGGCTGGACTGGCCATTTGGCTTACTGGGCATATGCCCTGTGGGCCAACGCTCATTTTGGAGCTGGGCTAAGGCAGCCATAATGTAATCATAAATGTATTTATCATTAATTATTAAATATATTGACCTATATTAAATTATTGATCCATTTTCCAAATTAAAGGGTAAAGGAAAGCTTTAAAAAATTATTATATAGACTATCCACCGCAACAGCAAAGGAAAATGCAGTCCATTTTTTGTTTTAAACACTCAAACCTAGTTTAGTAACCTCTTTACCAAAGAGTTTTGTGTTTTTTTTGCTGGAAATTATACATAGGTGCAATATACTGATTATTTCCACAGGAGGTTTTCACTATTTGGGGTAAGACAACGAAAAAGTAGTTATTTACAGTTAGAAATCATGACATAGTAACAAGGATGCAACTAAGTGAAAGGTTTTTAGCATTTTTTTGACTTCCACTTTCAGAAACTGGACTACCAACTGCAACTAATCAGAAAAGAAGAAAAGCTTAAAGTTGGCAAAGAGATAAAACACAAGATACAATGCTGAATCTAATAAGAATTATATATATTTTTTTGGGGGGGGGATGAAAGTTCAATTAAAACCCACGTCATGAAGCACTTGCCCAAACCTTTTCTTTCTCTTTCTTCTTTTCTTGATTTTTTTTTTTAAAGAAATTTTTACTTATTCCAACCCCTATATTTAGAGGAGTAAAAAAACAGATTTCTTTTTAGCACAGAAGCGAAAGTGCTCTCTGACTCACTCCCTACAGTCACATGTCAGTTTTTCTAGATTAAAAGGTTCTGATTGGATCGATTAACCACACTGCATTGTTTTCAGCTACACTGTCCTACATCCCATCAGCCAGGGCAAGGCTAATGGTCCGGGCTCACGTGTACAGACGACCTGATAGTGTCTGCGTGCAATCAGAGGTGGCACTGACTGTCTGTTTTGTGAATGGTAGGAAGAGTTGCATCAACAGAACAGGAGCCTTCCCGACGCTAAAAAGATCAGGTGATGTACTGATAAAATAGAAAATGGAAAGAATAAGAATACAAACAGGGAACCCATCATGACACACAAAATATAGTGTAAATATTAATCTTCATATAAACACTGCATTTGAAAAACATTGATTTCCATTGAGGTTTTTCACTTGATGTTACATTTCAACCAAATATTTTGAGATTTTTTGTATATTTAATGTGACAAACAAAATAAGTACAGATTCTTTAAAAAAAATCTATTATTATCTGGTGTACATCATTGAGAGGAAATGTGATAATTTCTATTCAACCTTCTTTACACAGACTCCTCTCTAAATTAAATCCACTGCAATCAATTGCCCTTGGGAACCATCTAATTGCTAAGCAGTGCCCAGCTATGGATTATTTCACCTCAGTGTGAATGCAGCTGTTCTGTTAAGAATGCAGAGGTTTAGCAAACGAAAGTAACTGAATCCCCAAACACTTCAGAGCTGGCATCGGTAGTCTTTCCCCTTCCTTTAAAAAAAACAAGGGCGGTGGCAGCATTATGCTGTGGGGACAATTTCTTTTCAACCACATGGAAACTGGTCAGAAGGTTTGATCTTTTGATTATTTGCAAAAAAATACTTGCAAAAAAGATCTTTACTGTACCTATTTAAAATTTTTAAAGAAATACTGCAGAAGGGCTTAGTTGCAGCAGAAGGTGGAAACTTTGTAAAGTGTTGACTTAGGGGGCTGAATAGAAATGCAACAAAATAATTTTCCTTTAATTCACAATTAATGTTTGCTACAAGATTTAAATCTATGGCTTTAAGCATGAAAAATTAGAGGAAATTCAAGGGTTTTAAAACAGATTTTAAATGTCTGGAAAAAATCAGCACACAGCATCAGCTTCAAAAATCTAATAAGATATAGTTACTCAGCTCCATATTTATTCAAGTGGGTTCAACTGTACAACACGTGTAACAATGTCACCCATAGAGACAACTCTCATTGCTTCCACTGTCAAAGCTTCATTGCAATTTTTCTATTTTTTATTCTTTACAAAACTGATTGATGTCTGAGCTTCTTTTGTCACATTAGAGGCAAAACTACAAAGGCTGATCATTACTGGAGCAGCGCAAATGAGAGTCTTTTGTTAAATCCTATCGAAAGGAGAGGGAAAAAAAGGGTAGGAGGACTGGTTCAGAGTTCCAGGTGCAAAAGGGTAGATGGAATAATAAATATGGCTTTATTCACTCAAGCTGCTTTTTGTTAATTGGCCTTTACTTTGAGGGTAGACTACAAATGGCATTAGTCTGAATTATAGCCAAATCGGTGAAGCTTCATTCTGCTCCAATTATTTAGGTATAAAACCATAAAAATGTGGAGATGCTGTATGTGCGAGTTCATTTCCATCACCTACCCAATAATCCAACTAATGGAGATGACTATTGTGTGGCTTTAATCATATACAGGTAGTATTTCTGCAGATTATTTGCTTCATTTTATGCAACTTACCTTTTTAAACCTCTTGGTCAAAAGGTCTATAGTTCAATTTTCTCCTGTTTTTCATTGTCAAAACCACATAAGTCATGACAAATTGAATAAAAAAAAAAACACTGCAAATTTATTTCACTCATTGACTGTAACTCATTAATCAGTAGTTTTGCAGTGAACCGAAGAATTTGTTTTCCTCTGTAATCTTCTGGTTGTTAGATGTATGGACGATACTCACAACGCACCCAAACCTTCGATTAAACCGCCATACGTTTAAATCCCACCTCTGCAATAGCCTCATTATGTTATTATGAGCAGCAAGTGATTCATTCACACTCCACAGAGATAATGGTCTCATCTGTCAGGGAACCAAGCCCCTTTAATTAAGAGATGTGTGAACTGAAAATATCCTCCCTGCTCAATTATTAGTAAAGCCGGTTATACTAATGGTGAAACAGCAGCAGCAATGCAGAGCTGCTCGTAGCTGTGGGGTCTTTAATTTGCAAATCCAACCTGGTTTGAAGAACCTGGCTGTTGCTGTCTGGTTCTGTTTGGATGCTAGAGAAGCAGTGATTTTCTAAGCTCCAGGAGCCAAATAATCACTAAGTACATCTCTGATTCAGGCAGGAAAGGGCCTCTGGCATTCAGAGAGGTGCAATCAATTTTGCTGTTTCCAATAGGTTACCCCTTTTAGATGACAGAGCAAAGCTGAAAGAGCCCCAACGTCTTACTGTCTAGGCTTGCTAGGTTCTGGTATTTTATTCTATGAAAAAGTTGCTTCTTTTTGTGCACAGGAAAGTGGCATTCATTGAACATGGACGGCATTAATGGCTAACAGACAATTAGAAGGGAAAA